GCATTCGTAGCCTACAAAAATTTTGGAGGCTCAGCCTACCGGACCACAATGGCTGGTGGCGCCAACCCGAAAGAGAAGAAAAAAGTGTGCCGCTGGCGGTTCGGAAAACCTTGGCGCGCAGCAAGGGGCCTGCAGGCCCGGGTGTACTTGTGGTTTAAACCACCAGTACCCCAGGGGCTCAGAGGCCCCCTCTGACACAAATGCATATGGACCCGTGCGGCGCACAGATTCAGCCTCTGTGTTAATGCCTAAAAACGTGGTAGGTACTGGTGGTCTAACCACCAGTACGTTTCTCCGCTATGCAAAAAAAATATGCATCTTGCATGCAGCCACCAACTTTTGGGGCACGGCCTTCGGTGCAAAATGGCTGGCAGGGGTTTCTTTTTTTTCGGGCGTGCTGGTCGTTTCCAGCCCCGGGGAAAAGTGCCTCCGAAGTACAACTGGTGGTTTAAGTTTATTCATGATGAAAGAACTGTCAGAGGTCCACAGAAGAGTCTCGTGAATACCTTTCTTGGCCTTTTGGCTGAAAAAAAAAAAAAAAAGATCGTGTAGCATGATACTAGTATCCTGTTCTGATCAGTTTGATTTTTTATTTTTTTTTCCAGAAAAAGTTATACTCTTCTCTCAATTTCACCTCACGCTACCTACCTACCACGACTCGTAATTGTAGGCATACATACGGGGCTCCCAGCATGCAGTTTATTATTATTATTATTATTATTATTATTATTATTATTATTATTTTAATGCATTTTAATATCTGATCTCTGGTCCATCGGCCCACGCTTCAAAAAAAAAAAAAAAAAAAAAAAACTCTCGTGAACTGGTCGTGAAGAGTCTCGTGAACTGGTCATGCTGCGAGGGCCTAAAAGTAGCAATTAGTAGCTTTGAATGGATGCCATGTGGGGCAAGGTCCCAGGTACTCTGATTCTTGGTATCTGGTCATTCCACTTACTTTTGTTCATTCCACTTACTTTTGTTATTTACATTCGGAAGGTGAAGCGACAAGCTGCCCAGAGGCCTAGCTCAGCTGGTTAGGCGCGCAAGTGACATTCAGGAGGTTGTGGGTTCGAGCCGGGCCACAACCGCCTGCGGCGCACTTAGTGTAAACGAGCGGTGACGGTCCGCTTGATACCTCTGGTCGGTACTAGCAGGGTCCTTGGCCAACACGGGTGTGAGTGCGAGTGGGTTGTGTGTGGTGTGTGGGGGAGCGTTGGTCGGTTGGGGGTGGGGGACGATGAAAAGGGAGGCGCAGCTACTGGCAAAATGCTTGGTCTTTGCGTTAGCTGAACCCCAACCGGCAGCCCCACCCCATTCTTGACCACCATGGTTGGGGTGGGGGCCAACATGCATCCCCTCTGATGGCTGGAGGGTGTACGTGTGACAAAAAGCAAGGCAGACTATATCACTCACCCACACGAGATGGAATCCTCTAGAGACTGGTAGTTCACACTCCACCATCATAAGCCATCCAACCTGCACGAAACAAAGAGAGGTCTGCGACAGCCAGAAAATGCACGCCAGTTTTGCCGCTGATTTTTATATATAATGGATAAATCTTAAAGTCTCAGGATAATCTTTGCAGGTCCGACTAGTATGTGGTGGAGCCAGACTGGGTGAAACACAGCCTTCTGTTCTCTTTTGTAAATCCTACATGGGCAGCCTATTACCTTATGACGTGTCCTAGAAGCACAACCTCTGTAGGACAGTGTGCATTGAAAGACAGGGTATATAACTCTATTGGCCATCTGCAGGGAGACCCCACTAGCCAAGAGGATTCGATCTAGCTTATGAATATGCAGAGGTTCATAAACCAGATTTAATCTCAGTTCTCTGTACCGGTTGACAAAAGCGTCCAGATTCAGTCCAATCGTCTTGCTAAGGGGGCCTAGACCTTATGGATGTCTCTGACGGCCGGCGCCCTTTTTCTTTCTTTTTTCTTAAAATCAAGGGGTGATATAAGCGTTATCGTGAGGAACGCTAATGCATCTTAACCGACTGGCGTAGCTCAGTTGGTACACCCACAAACTGTTGAAATGGAGACATGGGTTTGAGTTCAAATGGAATCAAATGACACAAAGAGAGGGAGAAAAAAAGGTAATGCAACTAATGATTCATTTAGTGCGATGTGAAATGTGAAACGGATAGTGGACGTTCAGTCAACATCCAACAAAGATTTGCACAATGATCCTCCGCCGTTCAGTCTCCTTCCATCCTTTTTTTTTTAATCAGTCCTTTGCAGCTTATTATAGCCTGTATGTGCATGTGAAAAAAAAATGAAATTGCAGTTGGTACGTGACCATTCAGACCTATCCCATCAGTACGGCAGGGAAAACTTTTTTTTTTATAACATTATTAGTATTATTATTATTATTTAAAGCACAGGTCAGCTACTGGCAAAATGCTCGGTCGTGGCGTTAGCCGCCCCCCTCCACTAGCATCAACTCGGGCTGTTGCTAAAAAAAATTAAAAGAGAAAAAATTTAAAAGAGAAGGAAAAAAAAAGGAAAAAAAATAGCCGCCCCCCTCCACCGGCGACTCCACCCTACTCCCTGATAACCGCCGATTAGGGCGGGGGGCACCGTGCATCCCCTTAATTGTGAAAGGTAACTATGCTTGCAGGGGGTCCTCTGTATAGGCTTAGTAGTGGTAGGTAGACAGTGAAAGGAGAGACTGAGAGAATAATATAGCTTAGCTTTTTTTAAAGAATCAATAAAAAGAAGATGCCAAGGCCCGGAGGTATTGGGTTCCGATTCCACATCGCTTATGATACCCTAGCCTAGCGCCTACTCACACTACCGTCTTCACCCAAATAGAGCGCCCGGTCATTATAGCCGTATCTGGGGCAGTTTTCTGTCTAGATGCAGCGATAATGACCGGGCCTTCTATTCGGGTGAAGACAGTAGGGGCTTGTTTGGAAAAAAACAGAAAACTTTGCCTTAGTTTTGCAGTCACACTTTGTTGACCCGCCATCAAATTTGCAATTGGTGTGGCCAATGTCAGCGGCGTGAGGGGCCTCGGGGTTGAACAGTGTGCCACCGATGTTGGTGTCAATTGTTTTTCCCCGCGAATCTGTGAGCTCACAGAAGAGAATTGCAGGTAGGTAGTGAAAGGTGAAATTGAGAGAAGAATATAGCATAGTTTTTTTATTTTAAGAAAAAAAAGGAGAAAAAAGAGAATTGCAGGCATCCCTTGACTACTTTTGCTGTGTGACCGCACAAGAGGGCAATTTCTCAAATGGCAGGGCGTCTGCGCATTGTCTTCTCCAATTTGCTACCCCTGTGTGACTGGGCAACGCAGCAAAATGTCAAACCGGGAGTAGCAAATGTGGCAAGGCAAATTTTGCTGGTTTGCTACGCGTGTGTGAGTATGCCCTGAGTTGGAAAAGAAAAAGAGGAATAATACGCTTAGACGTGAGTACCAACTAGCCTATAGCTCATTTGTTATACCCATGAACTTCTTAAACCACCAGTACTTGGGCCATACACGGTCCGCGGGACTTACCCTGTTAACGCGCCAGAAACTCAGGGGGTCGCGCAAGTAGAATCCTGGTCTGTGCAAGAAGGCCGGGCCCCACTGTTCCGGGATAACACATCCTGGATGCAGATGAACAAAAAGAAAGAAAACATAAACGAGTAGAAAGAAAGGAAAAAGAAAACAAAGAAAAAAAGGTAATTCTTGGAGAGAGAGAGAGAGAGAGAGAGAGAGAGAGAGAGAGAGAGAGAGAGAGAGAGAGAGAAATGAGAATAGGGAATGCGTCTTCCTGCAAAAGTGGGAAGATTCATTCCCGTTTTGCATTGTGGAAATGTGTGTGCGCGCGCGCGCGCGCGCGCGCGCGAGAGAGAGAGAGAGAGAGAGAGAGAGAGAGAGAGAGAGAGAGAGAGAGAGAGAGAGAGAGAGA